GCAGCCACACACACACAACACAGATGCAACATGACACAACGCAGACATAGACACCACACACACAACACAGATGCAACACGACACAACGCAGCCACACACACACAACACAGATGCAACATGACACAACGCAGACACAGACACCACACACACAACACAGATGCAACACGACACAACGCAGCCACACACACAACACAGATGCAACACGACACAACGCAGCCACACACACACAACACATGCAACACAGACACAAAGCAGACACAAAGCAGACACAACACACAGACCCACCCCACAGACACACACATATGCATACACAACACAGATACAACACGACACAACACAGACACACACACAGCGCAGGTGCAACACAGACACCACACACACACACACAACACAAGCAACACAGACACAAAGCAGACACAACACACAGACCCACCCACAGACACATACACACACACAGACACGACGCATACACGCTCTTGAGGCTGGCATGGCAAATGAAGGGCAACTTTTTAATTTATCCATTTTAAACTATTTCTGTAACCTCCCACCTTGCAGCCGGCCATTGATGCCAGCCTGCCCTCTTGATTCCCTGAAGGGCAAATCTGGGGAAATGGTTCGGTTTGGAGAGCCGGTTTGGGGGTCGGGGGGGGGGGGGGTTGAAGGTGCCTTGGCTAGAAAGTCCAACCCCCCCCACAAGGTTGTTGTTGGAAGGAAGAAGGATTGGGGGGGGGGTTAGGAATGTTCTTGTTTTGAGGTTTTATGTATGTATGTAGATTAAAATATAGATAATATAGATGCCATCTAGGTGTCTTTGGGCCCCTTCTTTTCCCTCAGCGTAACTCATCTGACAGGGTGCTGTTTCTATGGGAAAAATAGGCAGGCGAGATAATAGCACCAGTAGCAGCAATAAGATGGGAGGTGGGCTTGTCACCTTGAGTATGTCTTTAGGTAGATGTTAGATAAAAAAAATAATAGGTGGGAGAGACGATAGGTAGATATGTAGATAAATGATAATGGTGATAGATCTATCATTTAAGGTGATATTGATATTTACATTTTAAAACAAATATTGTTGTATTTGTTTTAAAATGTAAGTCACTCCTGTTCCGCACTGTTCACACAATGATATATGTCAACAACAAGAAAAAATAAAAAAAATTATGGAAAAAAAAATAAGGTGATAGATAAGCAACAGATAGAAGATGATGATGGTAGGTAGGTAGATGATAATGATAATAGATCTAAGGTGATAGATAGGCGATACAAGATTATGCTAGATATGATATTGATTAGACAGACAGACAGGCAATAGGTAAGAGAGAAATGATAATTGATGAATGGATGGCTAGATAGATCAGAGATAAGAGAAAGAGATGATAGGACAGACAGAATAAAAATAGGTTCGTGCAGGTTCACCGGTTCCCAGGTATTGAGGATGCTAGACGTAACATGGGACATAAATTTGTTTCTGCCCATCTTGATTGGAAGTAAACTGAGCTCAGACTTTTTAAAGCAGCTCTGAAACGGACTGTGTTTGTGAAGAAGTACAACTTATGAAACTCTTTGGACATATTTGTGATTTAGGGTGGTTAGGATTGGTTGTATCTTGAAAATACCCCTGCAAAGCAGATTAAACTCCCTGAGGTATCTGCTAAACAGAGAATTGTGATACCTGAAAAAAACAAGAAATGGCATTTGGAAGAACGTTGCAAGTGCTGGATTCTTAATAATTTGTGCTACATAATGTTCTGCCTTTTTTCCCCTTTTCTGTTTTAGGATGTTGGCTGCTAGGGCATTCAGCCTCATTGGCAGGCGGGTTTTGTCCACTTCTGTTTGTGTAAGAGCACATGGGCATGGTAAGCCAGCCATTGAATAAACTGGTAGCTTGAAAATAGTTTTTGACTAGCACATTTTCATTTAGCAATGCAAACTCCCTTTCCAATCGTTCTCTAAATTCTCTGTCTAAATTCTTTTGTCACGCACTTAAATAATAAAAGTTCTCTAAAATTAAAATGGCCTTTCCTGTATCTCCCTAGAGAACTTGATGTTAAATATGCAGCTGAGTTGATCTTACTCTTTTCCAGGATCCAATCTGGGTCGGTCACCAGGACTAGAGGTTTAGCCTTCTGAGCCTTCACACTTGTGTTGGATCCCATCCTCAGGGAACTTCTCTCTACCAACTTGGAAGACTAAAACTCTGGTCCTGATGACTGACCCGGATTGGATCCTGCAACACTATCATTCGTCAGTCTCTTTTATCCTTTGTCTAGAGCTGTGGTGGCGCAGTGGATAGAATGCAGTATTGCAGGCTAATTCTGCTGACTGCCGGCTGCCTGCAATTTGGCAGTTCAAATCTCACCAGCTCAAGGTTGACTCAGCCTTCCATCCTTCCCAGGTCTGGAAAATGAGGGCCCAGATTGTTGGGGGCAAAAGGCTGACTCTGTTAACTGCTTAGAGGGCTGGAAAGTATTATAAAGCGGTATATAAGTAAGTGCCATTGCGGTTGTCTTTCCTATCATAGTGGCCTGATGGATCCAAATCTAATTTTCAGGAATTCTTCATAAGCTTCTTCTGAAGGAATAATAAAGACAGGAATTCTTTTGGGCCATGCCCAATTTTTGGAGAATGAAAACTTGAGTGCTTATTCTTCTGTTTTTATATTCCTGCCTTGCTAACGTCCTTCAAAGTTTCCAGGTCATCTATTAGAATAAGGCATTGTATTTTATTTTAATTTTGCCAACAGAAGTTACAAAAGCGCCACATTATACTCAGCCCGTCTATGAGGATTACCCTCTGATTCCTTTGCCGGATATTCCATTTATACAAGACCTGAGCCCTGAGCAGAAAGCCCTGAAAGAAAAAGAGAAGGGGGCTTGGACCTCCCTCACCCCGGAGGAGAAGATTGCTCGTGAGTAATACGGCAGAGATTGTTACAAGAGAGGAAATCAAAAGAAACTTGCAACTGGCCTATTTAAATGCAGGTCATCCTCGAATTACGACCGTAGTGGGGTCTGTCAGTTACAGTTTTAAGTCTTGATGATTGCGTGACCAGTTCAATTTTATGACCTTTTTTGTGTTTGGTTTTTTTGCAACGGTGGTTACGTGATTCATTGTTCAGTATGGGGTGTTTTTGACAAAGACTTGGAAGAAAACCCTGGTTTTCAGCAAGAATGTCAGAAACCAGTTATGTGATCTTGAGATACTATAAAGGGCTGTAAATGTGGGCCGTTTGTCAAGTGCCCAAATTGCAATCACGTGACCATAGGGGTGGGACAGCTGTCAGAATTTGGGAACTGGATCAATAAGTCCCTTTGGGGGGCAGGCGGCTTTGTTGTAATTTTGAAAGGTCATAAGTTGAGGACTACCTGTATATAAATGTGTTCAGTTGTGAGTATTGGTCTGGCTCCTCTTTTTTTTTTTTTTTTTAATATTTTGTATTTGACAAAAAAGGATTTTTGTCCCTTCCCTCTTTCCTTCTCTCTCTCCGTCTCGTTCCAGTGTACCACATCAAATTTGACAAAACATTTGCCGAAATGCTGAAGCCATCGAGTGAATGGAAGACCGCGATCGGTTTAGCTGGCTACATGATTGGCCTCGCAGCTTTATTTTTCATTTGGGAGGTTCTGTATGGTGAGTCTCCCCCCTTTTTAGGGAGTTCTTCAAACATGAACACGGGGGAATGGACGGGAGTAGAATATTCAGCGTATACCCACGCACACCACGTTTGTGCTGGTGGGAGGATTTTGTCTAGTGAAAAAGGGACGGGCGGGCCTTTTAAAATAGCTTTTCACATTTTGTTTGGCTTCCTAATACAAGAATAGGAAGGGTGGTGGGGTATTAAGCATTCGAGCCCAGGAGAACTCTTATACTGGCCCTCTCAAAGACTTTCTCTCTCTTTTTCTTTTTAAATTAAATCCAAAAGAAACAAAAAGGAAGGAAGAAAGATCAGAGAAGGAGAGGAAAGGAAAGAGGGGAGGGAGGGAGGGAGGGAGGGAGGGAGGGAGGGA